TTTCTCTTTCATTGTTTTCAGTAGTTGTTTTCCTAGAACACGCCGTGATCGCGAAAGAATTACTATATTAAAAACAACAGCGATGTATTCATTTATTTAAACTCCTCCTAGTATGGATGAATTGTGTGTTAGCTGTGTACAGCATTTCTGTCATAGTAGATGCACTTGGAATTTTTTTCTGATCTTTGCTGTTCAGAAATATCTTTATTGGGGAAAAAAGGCAAATGCTCAGATAGTAAACCTCTCAGGGTGCTTTTATAGAGAACGGACAGAATTAAATTATCAGTGTGAATCAGTTTTCTGTTTCTGGGCAGCTGTAAATAACATCATGATTACAGAGAGAAAATACTGAAAAAAGCTATATAGCGTTTTTTCCATGATAACGTTCAGATTTTTTTTCATTGACAGTAGAACTAAGTAATTGTGAGATGGTAAATCACATAAAAACCTGAGCTGTATGCCAGAAGGAAATTCCTGAAGCCCTGGTCCTCTTTTTTGGGGCTGTATAGTGGTATGGGGGTGAACTGTACACCCCCAGACTACTGCGACAGTAAGCATGAGCCACAGGATGGGCTTGGGAAACAATGGGCAATTCCCAGTTCCTTTGTGATTCCAGGAAAGTAATTTTTGTAGTCCGTTTACCCATTCTTGGAAAACAACAGTAAGTTTTCACAGTCTGATTCAAGTGAAGTCTGTTGCATGTGCCTGTGGTGATCAGACTCACCAGCAGCGGCAGCCAAGCAGGAAAGCTGAGAACATTGACTGTTTCTTAGATGACTGCTTGGAGCACCCATATTCAATTTGCATGCCACTCATGTTTGATTCTGAAACTGTATATAAAGGTGTATTTTTCTGTACACAGAGGTGTAAAATGGGCTGGAGAGCATCAAAACTCATTTTGAGGTTTGGGTTTTTTTCTGGTTTATGATAGAGAATTGAGGAGGTTGCTGTGCTCTTTTTGGTTTTTGCCTTGGTAGAACTTCTGGGAATAGTGCCTTCCCTTCTTGTCTTTGTTAGAAATCCCTGCAGGATGAGGGAACTGAAGCTTGAGTTCATTTTATTATTTCTATTGAATTATTTTGACATAGTTTGTCTGGTATGCAAATACAAGAGGAATGGAAAATTGACATTTCATTATAAATCCTTCATAATTTGTTGTTTAGGTTTTACTTTTTGTTCTCTTCAGTGTCATCCTATCTGTTGCTTCTACAGTTTCTCAAGTAGCAAATTTTTCAGTGGTGTATGACGTAGGCATTCAGCTGCCATTTATTTATTTCAAAATCTCTCATGAAATTCCATTACAGGGTTAATTAGAAAAGATCAGAATGTGTACTGAGTTCAGTGTGATGAACAAACAGAGTTTACTATGTTACTATTTTTTTACTAACTCTCATGAAATTCCATTACAGGGTTAATTAGAAAAGATCAGAATGTGTTCTGAGTTCAGTGTGATGAACAAACAGTTTACTATGTTACTATTTTTTTACTGATTTTTTTTACTAGAGTTTACTGTTACTAACTTATAAAGGTAAATTTGGGGTTTTAAAGGATGGCTTCAGCCATGTAGCAGATGTCCTGTGAAACCTATGCTGCCACTTTGGTGCTAGGTTGTGTTTGGTGCTGGGACATTTCATGTCTGGGCAGATACACTGCATGGCTTGGTCTGTAAATGGCTTCTGCATCTTGCTGATTTGAGGATACCCTGCTGGTGCATCTTGGGTCTGCAAAATCTGTAAGGAAAGGGCACTGTACAGTGAACTGCTTGTGGCTCCCTAATATCTGGTGAGCACACATGTTTGCAGGGACTTGGCTCTTCATGTTTCTGACGGGTAGCAAATGAACTGGATGTATCAAATAGAGCCTCGGTCTTCATAGGCTAAGTTATTTATTTTAATTGCCCATGTTGTTTAATGAAGATCTTGACATTAAGGTATTTCCTTGGGTCTATTTGGATCTATTTGAACTGAAGACAAACAAGAGAATCCAGTAGTTCTAGTCTTACCTTACCATCTTGCCTGCCTTGGAGACAAAAAAGAGCAAGTAGCCCAGCTAAGAAATAATTTTTGTGTCTTGTTTGCTGCATGTTGGAGACATGCAAGAATTGCAGAATGGTTGAGGTTGAGAGGAACCTCTGAAGGTCATCTGGTCCTACTCCTTGCTGAGGCAGGGTCACCTAGAGCCAGCTGCCTGGGACCATATTAGACAGTTTTTAGGTATCTCCAAGCATGGAGAAGCAGCTTTGGAATTGTTTCCAGCTGAGCTGCTACAGAGTGTGTTAGTGGCTGCCCTCAAGTCCTGCAGGTGCACAGCTCCCAAGGGACAGGGAGATGTGCTTCAGCTCTGAATGCACCCTCCATACCTGCTGGCTTCCATGATGACTGAAAACTGACAAACGTCGTCCATGTGGAACGCGTGGAAATCCAAATGTGCAATGGTATTTTACCTTGAAGAGTAAGATTTCTGTTGAAATAAGTCAGCTTTTAAAGAGGCGTTCCAGCACTTTTGCGTGGTTTTTGTAGTACTATTTTGTAGTACTTCTTTTGGGCAAGGTTTAAGGCATACAAGCATACTCACCTAGGCTAGAGGCTGCTTTCAAAACCTGACCTAGAAGTATTCCAGTACTAAAAGTTTTTAAATGTGACTAGTTTCCACTGCCTGGAAGAAAGAAATCCCAGAGCGGGAATGTACTGAAATCACGAGCAGTAACTGAAGCAGCACATCTATTCTGTTGTTCTGCAAGATGGTTTCTGTACATCTGAATGCCCTACCCAATTTTCTTCGGCATTACAACTTCAACAATGAACATACAGAGACCATAGAGAAAAATAAAGTAGCTTTTGTTCCATGTCCCCTGTTCTCCAGATGTTCCATGCCATCAGGGAAGGGGCAGGGGTCAGCAGAGTATTGCAGTGGGTACAGCTCCCACAGGGGCTGTGCTTCTCCGAGTTATAATCGAAGCAGGAATGTGCAGTGATCAGCATGAAAACTCTAGTTGTTGGATGAGTAACCTTTATTTTTTTTGTTGGAAAAGTTTCCCACTGAGATCATCTGACATTAAATTATGTCAAGTTCACTCGTATTTTTATTACTTTGCAAGAAAACTGATAGACACTTAGGTTCTATTTTCTCGTGCTTGCCCCATCCTCCCCTCTGCAGGTATTCTTATAGGGCAATGCAGTCTTTTTAAATCAGAAAAGCCTTTGGTAGTTACTTTAATTTGTGGTTGGACAGCATCTAACATGACTCTTAACAACTTCTCTTTTTTTGAGTATCTTCTCATACCTCTCAACTTTGATCCTAGGAGTTTTATAGAAAGATTAAGAGACCTGAAAAGTAAGCAATTAAAGCTGTCTCAGTCAGTGGTGCACAGACACGATGCATGTCATTATTTTTTGTCTGAGTCCAAGGCAAAATCAAAAGGTTTTGGTTTGTTTTTGGTCTTTTTTCTTCTTCTATTAGTTCATGGGTTCAAAGATTTTATTTTTTTTTAACATGTTGAGGTATTGTTAAAGTCGGCTTTCCTGGAATTACTTTTCTTTTGAAATAAAGAAACCAGATTTGCGTGGCTGTTTCATAAATTCTATTCTTTTAAATATTTTTAAAAAATTTTTATTTATTTTTTAAAAATTTTTCACAAAGGCAAGTTATGAAAGGGCTTATCTTGCAGCAATTTGAGTGTTTTGTAAACAACCAGATCTTGGATGGCCTTAGCCCCACTCAGCTATCGTATGCAAGAGGTTTTAAAACCTTCCTACTGTCCCTTGGAGCAGATGTGTCCTATTTCACAAGGCTGTATACTTTTGTCCCATTGTGTCTTGAAAATTGTAATTCTGTGATGGTTTTTTCTTCTTTGACTTTTCAAAAAGTGAGTCAGATGCAGTTCCCTTCTGGCAGTGGGGTGCTGTCCTTTCAAACGTTGTTTCTTGGCCAGTCCCATGTCAAGGAGCAGAGAATGCAGGACAGATGCTTCACGCCTGGCATACTCAGCTGTTCTGAGAATAAAACCACAGCGTGCAACTGGCGAGTTCTGCTGGAGGCAGCATGTGCTGGCTGCTCATGTGTGACCTTTTTGTACTCAGTAACTTGACTAACTCTGCTCAGAGAGATTTTTTAAAAATGGAATACGAAATGTAGGTGACTGACTTTCTGACCAGAGTTCAGAGAGGTGTGCGAGCAGCATGGACTGCCAGCCGGGTTCTTGGAGTGCGGGGAGCTGCGAGTGATTGAATTACACTGGCTTAAGAGCTTTCTGTCCCCTCAGCTGAGAGTTTTGCCCCCACTGGCTGACACGCAGCACAACTGATCACATGTGATCTACCAGACCAGTAGAAAAATGAGCTAAGTTGTGCTATTTTAATTACTGCTGCCACACAATAAACTGGGAAACACTGGCAGAATGCTGGCCTGAATAATGCAGCAATCTGTAGTTGTCTCAGCATAAAAGAATTACAAATTTTTACTCCTGATGAACAGTAACAGCCTTAAAAGTGAGACACGTGTATCCAAGTCTCTTGGTTTTTCTAACCCAATCACCCCAGCTGGTGACACAGTGAAGCAGTGTTCTTGCAGTTAGTCTGCCTTGCTGAAACATGGCTTCTTTGGGGCCAGTGCTGAAGAATGATCAAAGAAATAAACCATCTGTCAGGAGATATTTCATACAGTACCTTTAATAATTTACAATTACATATGCTATAATTTTACTTTAAGTTCAAAATCTGTTTTACCCAAAAGACCAATCTGCTTCAGCTTGCATCTTTTTGCTGCCAATGCTTTGATGGGAGTTAAAGAACTGGATGAAATCTAGTTGTTGAAAAATGTGCTACAAATTCTTACTGTGATTGGATGTTAGCTGAGCTGTACTTCTGAATAGTATCTATGTGCCTTGTAGTTACACATCTATGATTTTTTTGAATGTATCTTTTCAGAATCATCTCTTTATTAAGTTAATCTTTTATGCGTGGAATCACTGACAAAAATTATTTTTCTTTCTTTGGCTAAAGCTACACAGAGTGAGGAGCGGCTGTGTGCATTTAAAGACCCGTATCAGCAGGACCATGGAATCAGTGAGAGCCGGATCTCCCAGGAGAATGGCACAATTTTGTGCATGAAAGGTAGTACCTGCTATGGACTTTGGGAAAAAACACGAGAAGGAGACATACATCTTGTGAAACAAGGTATGTTACAGTTCAGTTTTAGTGCAGTAGTTTTTTTTACTTATTTCACTTCTTTGTGATCCAGTTCATACAAAGCTGCACAGCTGCAGAACTAGACTTCTTGCACATTGTCAAAATGCATAATTTTAAACTTCCCATTTAACTATTTTAAATGTGAACAGAAAATTTGTTAGAAATTAATGGCTTTTCAAAGAGACCAAAGACATCAATGTACAGTTGAAAGAAGAAGCATTCAAATTTCTTTTTACATAGGATGTCCAGAAGAAGATGGCTTTCTTGAATTTCAGTATAGGTATTGATGTAATGATAAATTTAACAGTAAGTGTCGTATTAAGTAAAAAGTGTGTATTCATATTGATTGGATGTTTGTTTACAAAGGAAATGGCAGCTGTAGTTCAAATATCAGTACTGTAATTCAGTGCTGTTCTGTGGGGAGAATGAAGGTAGGAGGTGTGGAGGACCTTGCAGTTTCTGGAGACATGTTTTGCTTATGATTCTTAGGATTCTTCTCTTTTTTACTTGGATGCAAGTTAATGTAGAATAATGCTGAATGAAGATGCAGCTGCTATTCCCAAATAGCCTGTGGAATTGTAGTCCATGATTCCTGTTTGATCTGGCAATCTGCTGAAGGGAGCAGCTTGACTGCCCACCTCTACCCCACTGCTGCCTCTTTCCCTTCCAGTTCTTTGTGGATAAATGACATTTAACTGCTGTTGACCGTACTTGGGAACAAACAATTGCTGCAGGGACAAAGGACCTGCTATGAACCAGGCAATAAGTTGTGGTCCTGTCAGCATCCAGTGATGCTGACAATGAGGAAGGGCAGAATTTTGAAAATTATGCAAGAAGTACCAAGCTGTAGATGCAGTTTTGTGGCCTAAGGAAGGGATTAGGTCACAATTCATTTAGTCTGTAGACCAGAAAATGGTGATGTGGTCTGTGGTATCAGAGAGATGAGGAATAGCATATTTCTGCTTAGAAGGCTCAGAATTTCAGGTTTTATCATAGTAAGGCAACAGCTGGACATTGGCCTTCATCCCTGTCCACATTTTCTTCTCCTTGGTTATGGGGAGTTCTAAAAGAAATTCTTCAGGTTTTTGTTTAAAAGGTGGTAGTAAAGTCAGATAAGCAAATTATGATAACTGTTTTCAGCCCACTCTGTAATGTTTAATCAAGTAATGTATGGATTTCTGTAGGTGTGTTTATCCAGTCAGTTGAGTTAATTTTCTGCTTACTTGGAAAAAAAAAAAAAAAGTAATTTGCTTCTTTTTGCAGGTTGCTGGTCTCATATAGGAGACCCACAGGAGTGTCACTTTGAAGAGTGTATAGTTACAACCACCCCTTCCTTGATTCAGAATGGAACATACCGCTTCTGCTGCTGTAGTACGGACTTGTGTAATGTCAACTTCACAGAAAACTTCCCACCTCCTGACCCTACTGATACAACACCTTACAGTAAGTCAGATGTTTGTGTTTCTGTCTTTTCATGGTATAAAGATTTTAGGGAAAGAGCCTTTTTTTTGTGCTACTGTTAAATGTGAAGCCTGTGACCTTTCTGTGTCACAGAGATGGCAGACAGAGCAGAGCTTTCCCTTAGGAAGTTTGTCACACTCATATTCCACATTGCTCCACAAAGAACAAGATAAATGCTTAGAAGAGGATTGGTTGTGTTGGCACCTGCTGAATACAAGTTATATTTTTCAAAATGGTCTCTAATCTTGTGTGGTTTGATATTTGGATGCTCAACATCATAAGCCTGTGGAGGTATTCAGAAGATTCATGACTTCTGTTGAGAAGAGGCCAGTGGTTTCATTAACACTACGGTCCCTTTGGAAAGTTTGGCCTGTCTGTTCAGTCATAAATCATGGGTAGTTTTGAGTGGTAGAACTGATCTTGTATCAGAAGTTCTCTCCAACAATCTCTGAAATCTGATTTCTTTCTTTTGCATATCTCTGGTAAGGGCTAATTTTGACATAATGTTCAAAGAACACTGCTAGTATTACTAGTTTGAGCAATATAATTTTCTTTTCAGTTATTTATTATCAAATCAGCCTAACATACACATCCAAATTAAGGGATCAGACCCTTTAACCTGGTATGACAGAAGCAAGATCATAATTAGCAGGTACACTGTTGTGCTGTGTTCAAAAAGTTAAGAACATGTAAAGAAGCTGAGTTAGTGGCCTAGTCTAAACATTTGGATAGCCTTTTCTAAATAAGAATTGTGAGAGGGAAGTTGAATAAAGTTAGGTATGTAAATGGAGGCACAACTGTTCTGTATGTCAAGAGTTCTTTATCAGTGGAAAGTATTTTGTGAAATGAAGGTGTACAATTGGATAGCATTTACAGCTGTAAAATGCAAAATTAATAGTTTGTGTTTAGGAATGATAGTATTTGAATTAACTTCAGTGTGAAAATGCTGATACTTATCACTGGTGCTTTCAAAAATGGCTGTAGGGTCTGGTATTTGTAAGGAAGTTGGATCAAAATGAGGGTTTGGTTTGGCATGCTAAAAACCAGTGGTCTTTAACTTGGAAAATGTGTACAGTATGAACGGGTAAAGAAAGTTGGTAAAACATGCTGCCTTTTGGTTGACAGTACTGTTTGTAGAGCAGTAAACAATCACCATTTGGAATCACTGCACTGTGTAGTGCAGAACAGACTGCTTGACTTTGGTAAGAGTCATCAGACTGGGCTCCCCAAATGTACCTGGAGTTAGTGTTGTGCAGGGAAATCAGACAGGAGGAAAAACAGCTGTAAAGGTAATTCCTTGTCCCTTTCTGTCCCCCCAAAACAGGAAGGCCAGATTCTTACGAAATGACTTGTGCTTATTCTTCTCAAAGGATAAAAATTGCAAGCTGAATTAATTCAGTTGTTGAGCGATAAGATCTTAAAATAATTGTAAATGAAATTTTTGATACCGAAAGATCTATCTTGACTTGCAAAGTGGAGGGGAGATGGATTAAATCTGTAACACAGTCCTTAATTCACCCAGCTGTAATTGAGTGCTGCAGTGTACATTTCTACTGACTCAAACTGTTTTGTGTTATTGTGTCACCTTCCATTTTCATAATAGGCAAATTTGGCTTTAGGCATAAGCACGAGCAAAGTAGGTTGCTTCAGAGCACAGTTGTCTGTCTGCTTTGGCTGGGTTAAGAGATGGAGATGGACCACTCCAGCAGCAAGGATGGCCTCGTTTGCCACTCTGGTGTTTTATTTGTGAAGCTCTACCATTGCTGTGTCTGACAGAGATGGGGCTGCTCCTGGCTGTTCACATGCAGCACTCTGGAGGTACAGGATACTTGAGAAAGCTGCAGGGGTGAAAAAGCAGAGAGGCTGCAGGCACAGACCCCTGCAATGTTACTGACCCACATTCCAAGTGGTGGAGTGTTCATGGTCTCTCAGCTCCTTCCAGAACCCATTTTGGTGCTGTAAGATTATATTTTGGCATGTTAAGTACAGAATTCTTGCTATAGCAAGGTTGAGATTTTATAGAATTGTTGGGAAGCTTTGTATTAGTTACTGGATACCTTTCCTTGGACACTCTTCCAGCCTTTCTGTTATAGTTGACAGAATGCTGTAAGGACATGAGCAAGGTTAGCTGCACAGGCTGTGGCAATCTGTGTTTCCATACCTTTTATATGATTAAATTGAACAGGTCACAGTCACATGGGAAATCTTCTGCAGCAGGTTATTTCAGTATAGCCTGTGAACTGTAAGAGCATTATTTTTCATCTGTATTTTTGATAGATAAAGTTTTTGAATGGTCCAAAGTAAGGCATGAGACCTCCTAGAACTGTACTTATGATCCTGGAAATTTTGAAGTGGAGATGACTGGTGTACAATTATGTGAAGCCTGATGAATTCAGGCAACAATTAACTAAGTATTTGTAAATGTTTTTTTCTCATTTCCAGTAAAACCATACAAAATAAAAAGTTCCTGGAATGACAGGCAGAAATTCAGCTGTAGTTTAAAAACTAATGGAACCTGAAGACCTTGCTGATGACCCTAATCAATTTGAAGTTTAATTTTTAAGGAAAATTGCAATTGTTCTTTTAAAGATGATTCCTTGCTGCTATATGAAGGATTTGTGGAAACAGCCGAAGACTGCTAGCCCCTTGAGCTAAGTCCACCCAGAAGAATAATGGAATAAAACAATTACTTTATACAGTCTTTTGGTTGCCATTTTTCTATCATACTTAACAGTGGTGTGTTGAAAGATACAGCTAGACTATAAATGATTCAAGAAGACAAAATTAAGATACATGTTAGATGTATCGAATTATCATTGTTGTAACATATAGCAATTAGAAAAATTAAGTGTAACATTTAAGATAATGTCAATGTTGTTTTTAGGATGTCAAAACATTTATTTTGTAACTGTATCTGTGTAGAACAGAACAGCTTGCTTTTTTTTTTAATTTATGTTTAATTAGGGTATAAATACATGTAATCCAACCTGTCCAGTAACAAAATTTTAATAAAAATGAAATAAGATTGAGGACAAACAGGTTCTTGAAGGCTGAAATTTAATCCTTACTGCCTCCTAATGTGCAGCTGGTAATTTAAAGCAATCATACATATGAGTAGTCATAATATTCATCTCTTCTATCTTAAAAGATAATCCAGGTAGATTTGAATAGCTGTTGCTAATCCCTCCAGCTAGAATTTTGCAAATACTGTAGGATGGGTGATAGCCTAGAACCCACAGTCTGGAGGTATTAAAAAGGCAGAGATTAAGATAGCTGTTTCCTGATGCCAGGAGAAGTAGTGGTTGGAGAATGGTGTCTGTTTCTGATTTCAAGATTTGCCTGTGGAGTTTGGAACTACTCAAATGCAGACATTCAGAAAAAAAAAAAAAAACACTCATCCTCTATCTTTAACTTGCACTTTTGCAAGGAAAGGGAAGGATGTATCTTGTTCTATGATAAATTTCTCATGGATTAGATTCACTTTTCTTCCATCTTGTATTTTCAGCCAATATACTCATATATCCCTTAACCCTATCTAAAAGGGGCCAACTGTGGCTTCCTGGGTCAGTGTTTTGAGATGTGTTTACTTTGTTGGCCTTGTCAAATATTTAGTTTCACTAAATATTATGCTAAATATCTGCCTGTTATGACTGCTGAATGCTTCCTAAATTCTCAGACTGTTTTGAAGAGAAATTTATTAATTCCTCAATCATTCATAATAGCCAGTTAAATAGAAATTAAGTAGCTCTCTTGTTGGTCATAGATATATTGCTGTAATGAAACATTCACATTAAAATAACATCAAGATGAAAGAGCAATTTTTAATTATTGTTTTCCCTCAAGGCTGCTTCCGGGTGCCGCAAATAAATGAATGTAGCAGCAACTGAGTGTTAAGAATGTATTTTTGTATGACAGGTGATGTATTTGTGTGATATGTGGAAAAAATCCCTGGCAGCAGCAGTTGAGCAGTTACTGGTACATGTGGTTGAATATTATATAGGGTTTTCATCTCATAACAGCAAATAGTGGCTGCAATTTTAGAGGATTTAGGAAATCTCTGTTAAATAAGAGCACTGAGTTGTGAATAGAAAGAGACCACCTCACACAGTCAAGGAAGTTACTCTTCACTCTGAAACACTGATTACAGGCTTATCTTTCCAGTATGACATTCTTGCCTCTCTTTGCCAGCCTTCTTGCTATGTATATGAAATAGGTATGTAAAAGTCTGTCTTGAAGTGCTCATGGACTTGTGTGGAAACTTTGACAAAAGCTACCATTAAAAAAAAGAAGTAATTACTAATGTATGTGGCTGGGCCAGGTTAATTATGGTAGTAATGAGACAGTTTTCATTTAACTATTGTTTTTGAGAGGCAGCAGTTAGACTCATGTAGCTGTGGGCACATGGCCCAATCTAACTCCCACTGAAGCTGAATTAGATCATGTCAGGCTAATTTTGGAAAGTTGTAACCCTGCTCACTCTCAGTTGTCTTGAACTGCTTTTTCTGGAGAATAGCATCTGATATTAATTTATAATTCAAATGCATTTACTTCAGCTGGGTTGCAGGACCTGATCAGCTAAGTTGTAGCTGATGTTTAAGCAGGTCTTTATTTTCTGATCTGCCTCATCTAAAAAGCCACTCTGTAAATAAGCTTTCTCCTTCATGTCCATTATTCTTTTTGTTTTCAGGTGATTTAGATGTAAAGAGGAAATGACAAACCTTTGCAAGGTGGCACATCTCAGGTTTAAAAGATGAAGGTGGGAGTGATCTACACCAGGATTAAAACTTGTACCCTTGAAATGATTGGCAGTCAGTCAGGCACCTCTTCCTTCAGTGAGGAGATGAGGCACATTCACTATGTTATAAGGCAGGGGAGGAAATACTAACACAGTAATTAAGGGCCTTCATATCTCCTAAAAAAAGAAATTTACTTTGAGACACTTAAGCATTTGATGCAAGAGGATGGTACTGTGCCTCTGAGGA